GAATTCCCAGTGAAGTACTTTTTTGCATTGCTGTTTCAAACTGAAAATTACACCGCAGACACATAATCATGAAAATGATTCAGTGTTTTAATCACCACACACTCTACAGCAATGTCATTTCCTGGCTTGTAAATTCTGATCACAGTTATCATTGTTATGCAAGTGTAGTTCGATTCATAGTAGTGACTTCACAATTTATATTCTAGTAATCATAACTGCAGTTATCCCTTTTCTCAATTTCACACATTAGGTATTACATGTTTCCACTTTATATGTTGTGTAGAAGAGTAATCCAAGAATACAGTATTATGTTAGCATGGAGGACCGTTCTATCTCTTTAATTCTGGACCTTAATTGTTTATCATCTGTAGACATCTAAAAATGTACTTAGATGACTTGAACATTGATAAGTCATCCACACATAATTTCGTAATTGAGTAGTGAACTCTGAAATATACTATAACAGTAGCTATTTATTACAGATTTGTGTCCCAGACGAGTGTCTTTTGTTGCTTTGGGAAGGAAATTAAGAAGGTGGTTCAAGTTAAGGCTTTGTAACCTAATCTGTGTGTTTGATGCTAGATTTTAGTGGTTTTGATTCACATTGTTTGTTGTGTCTAGCTTTCATAACCTTAAGGCGATGTTATCCGAATGCATTCTTTAAAGTCTCAGTCTTGACTTCATAAGAGGGCTGGAGGATGGATTGTTTTCTGCAGGCTTTACTGAGAACACCTGATGCGCCTTGTGTTCAGAATGCGCCGAAAGAAACACATGCTGACCAGGTGCTGAGATATTCGGAGCACTTTAACACTAGAGCATGAATTGATTGGATTGCACTGGGCCCTGCTTTCAGAGACAATGGGGAACTCAGATTAGTGCGAGTGGAAGGGAGACATTGATGGTGAGTAGGCAATAGGTGACCTGCCCAACTCTGTTCAGGCAACATTCTGAAGCTGAACCCTGCCTCCCTGTCCACCAGATTAACTGGCATATTCCACTTCAAAGGCTTCTTGCCAGAGGGCAGCCATCTCCAGTCATGTGAGACCCCTGTTGACTCCAGGGTTCGCGGCCATGTAACCCAATCTCTTGCTACAAAGAGTCGGGGTCTAGGAGGAGCTGCTGAACACAGGGTCATCACTCGCAGGGGAAACCAGGCAGGCAAAATAAATAAACCCCCAAACTGCTACAGATACTAATCAATGGGCCAGTGATCTCGATCTGAGAATTGAAGGAGAAGGATCAGGGCCAAGGGAATAGGCAGGAATGTACAAGTCTCAGAGCTGCCTGACCCAGCGTTGACCTTAAAGGTAGAAAATATGGGGAATCCCCTTAATCATGTGCAAAATATCAGGGCTACTTCTGTTCAGTGCATGTTACTTAATTGTTAATGGCAGTAATCACATCATACTTTGGTCATTCATTGGCAATTATCGCCGTATTACCTAGATTAGCCATTTCAGTCATGTGTTATTTATCAGTTGTTGAAATATACACCAGAAGTGCATCATGTGATGCATTTGTTTCAGATGGCTCCAACATGTGAGGAATATCATGAACAGGTTCAGTCGATGACCAGAGTCTCAACTGTGGCGCCCTTTATACTAAGAGAAAACAAAGATAAAGACAATAAAGGTAGCAGTTCTGTTTTTGGACTACATGTTTACACAATTTGATTAGAATTATCTGTCATTAAAGAAAGGACCCATTGACTTTATCGCTCCTGACCTTGCAGTGTCCTTGTGGTGAAAGTAACTATCAAACTTTGTTTTTAACTTGTGTTTTTCCTTGTGATCTGAACAATGAATTTAATTTCCTTTATCTTTAGTGCACAGCCACTTCCAATATCAGATATTTGGGCATTTATCTGTACCATCCTAATCTAATCTTAATGCTGCGATTGATGAAAAACATCATCGGTTTCAACGGTGGTCATTTTATAATTCCAAATCTAGATGCTAAATTGCAGTGCTCAGTTTTCAATTTGGAACCTCCCCCAAATTCCTTGAATCCTGCTGATACAGTGTGACACTGCTGCTCTTTTGTTTCAGTTTGCCTTATGTAGCGGACATTAGTACACCCCATCTTCCTCATTCGTGCTTTCTCTATTTGAGGTTTCACACACTTATGGTGCCAAACCAAGCCTCTCAAAGCTTCTAAAATATCTTTAGAGACCCAAAGCTTCTCAGACCATCTCTACGGCTCATTTCAAAATTTGCATGTGTTTTCCTCTGCGTTACTCATTTCTCCTGCTTTGCTACATCTTCCTGAAGATGAATGCACCCAATAACTGTAAATACACAGGCTTTGTGATATTTTTTTATAACATCCCTTCCTTTAATCTAAAACTCTGCATATGTATTTTGATTTGCACAGTGTTTTAGGCATGCCCATGGTATAAAGATATGGTATAGGAGAGCTTTTTCCCAGTATACACATTTTTTGTTTTTCACAGGCAGTTCTGGAACAAATCCCCTACAAATAAGGAGCTTTGGGTGTAGTTACAGTACATTCCATACTGCTGGATCACAATTTTGCACTTTAAAAAGTTGTTTAAAAAATCTTGGATGTTTCTGCCCATATTTCTGGCAAGAAGCTCTTTCTCTGCTGGCATGCATATCTGAATTTTAATAAGATAAGGAGATTGGAACCCTATAAAATAGGGTGAAATAGGTTTAATCTGCAAAATAACTGTGAGAGTCTCCTTAGAGGTGATTTACAGTCCTGAGAAGGAATCCTAAGATCCAGCCAAAGGATCAGAAATATTGAATCCTTGGAGGTTGGTGTCTATACGGTAAGTGTATTGGTTGAGATTAGCAATGTTCTATATCCAGTAATAAACCTTATTACAGATACTGATACCCGTTCCATATGTTTGAAGAGCTATTCCTTAACAAAGCCGGGCTTTTATAAACTTTCATTTATCAGAGGAGAAAAGATCTAATTCACTGCTATTTTAACTAAACAGATCTTCTTTCTATTTCTATTAAGTGGATCGGTTACTTCTCTGTTCTGCACTTTTTAAGTTCCGTTTCAGATGTCATAAAGGCTTGTGTGTTGTAGTCGTAACTCATTACTGATATTGGTCTGTAGTTTTGTATATTCAAATTACATTGTAATTGAACAGTTACACAATAAAATCTAGACCATATACAAATTAGTTCATGAAGATTATGATTGGATAGTTATTTATTGTACTTTTAAATCAGAAGCATTATTTTATCCCACTTTCTATTCCATGGTAATGCTGTAAGTAACTTGTATTGTACATAGAATTTTGTAATTGTTTTTTGTGATATTGACCTATAATGTACGGTAGTTATTTACTGACCTGAAAAACTGTGCAAATTATATCTTTCTTTTGTATTTATCTTTCATGTTTTTGATTTTTCAAATGCAATCACAATCATCAAAAATGTGTATTTAAGGAGTTTTGAGCAAAAGTGATTTAAACAAAGTCGATGGGTTACAATTGATCAAATATGTCTTAAAATATGTATACAGAATTGATGTATACATGTATAGATATACTGTAGTTCATATAGGTACTGTAGCTGCATCAGCATGCATAGGCTGCAAAAGAATAAGTAAAGGTTTATTCCATGCTGAAAGGACAAGAAAAAAACCAATAACATTTTAGCTGTGGAGTCTTCTTTTTTTTCTTTTCAGCATTGAATAAACCATTACTTGTTCCTTTACATGTACAGATATCCTATATATAGATATGCTATACATTTTCCTGAAATGTAAACTGAAAATTGCAGGAGTTTACTTTTGTGTGTAATAATGAGCCCCCGTCTAAGGCGTATGCTGTCTGTATCAGAAATTACTGCAGGTCTGAAATGACATGTGGTCAAAATAATGATCTTACTCAAAGACCATTTCAGTTGTATTATCAGTAATTTTTGCTTTATTTATTAAGATATGAAAGTATTATTTTTCTAGAAAGGGCGTGGCTATTCACATAAGTGCAATGGAAGAGTGAATTTTGTTCATTGTTTTGGTTTCAAATCAATGTCATCCAGGTGGATGCTGCACACTGGTGGTGGTGGAGGGGAGTCCCCATTACCTGTAAAGCGCTTTGAGTGGAGTGTCCAGAAAAGCGCTATATAAGTGTAAGCAATTATTATTATTATTATTATTATTATTATTATTATTATTATTATTATTAATTCTACGTCACTCTCAAATCTCGTGTTTTTTTTACTTTGTTTCTTCTGCTTATCTGATGGTTTGTATAATGTGTATGAAGATTATCTGTGCCAGAGACCAGATTTTGGCTAATAAATGTGATTTAAGTTAAGCGTTAGGCTTTCTTCAACCTGGGATGATGTGTTACCCCACCACATCAAGCCATGCACTACCCTCAGGTCCTGAAAAAGCCAGCGGCTGTGTAGTCAGAGAGTTAGGTAGCACGGCAATGATGGTAATTGATGCTGGTACGCTGAGCACTGTGAAGTGATCTAGTTATGTGGTACTGCTTCCTCTGTGAAGTCTGCCAGCATTTTCACTGTTTTGTTTTTATTTTTTTATCCCATTTCTAATTTGCCATTTTCATGTTTGCAGACTAATATGTTGTTGCCAGCAATGTGATTTGTTGTCAAAGCATTAAGCTTGAAGAATTGAAATCATGACATTATTCATTGACAGTTATTCAGTTACAGCAATAAGGAAATCAACTATCAGCAGATTAGACATTAAATGGTTTGCTTTATCAGTGCAGCCCTGCAGGATATTTTCAGGCACCAGATTTATGCATTACTTCTTTTTTTCCCTAATGTGTCTCTGACTGACATGTTTTTTAGAAATGGTTTTTTCTACAGCGAGGCAGCTAAATTGAGAATCACAAACAGTTTGGCTTCCTTTCTTCCTGAATGAGCTTGCAGGGAAATAGACAGGTTATACTTTCTATTGGATGCTGTGCTCTGGACTGACCACTACAGGGCAAAAATAGACAAAAACACAAGAGGAGAGAGAAATGCGAGGATTATTTAAATTCTGGATTTTAGAACCTTTTATTTCCACGTTCATTCTGATGTGCATTTCCCACTAAGACGGATGTTTTAACATTCCTATTGTCATCTGTGTTTTTTCTCCTTGCCTGTGAAGTGTGGAGCTTGTGGTAGTGACAGGAGCATGGCAAAGGGTTTGGGAAGCACTGCAGCCAATTAGAAGGCAGAGACGTGAATAGCCATCTTCTATAGAACACGGAAACACATTCTTCTAGCACAATGGTCCTCTTTAATGTGGGTGACTGCAACTCACCCTTAACACGCTGGAAAAAAAGAGAGAGAGAGATGTGGTTTTATAATTACAGGCACAATTCTGTGCTCTTATGAAACAAGGATAGAAACCCTCAATGACCAAAATTAGAGGATTAGACAGAACTAAATTTGGTAGCCCGCACAGGGCCGCACTGCAACTTTGTTCACCCAAACTAGGATTTAACAAATTCATCTTCACCGATGTCAGAAACTGGCTAACCTTCTCTTACTATACTGGTACCAGTTTAACACACTCAGTTTTTTCCACACAAGGTCTTGGCATAGTGAATATTTGGTGGTTTAACAATACTGATAGCACTCATCCCCAACCCAGGAGACCCACAGCCCAGCAGGTTTTATGGTCACTCCTAAATCATGAATTTGCCAACACTGGAAACAATTTAATTGTGCCTGCTTACGTAGGCGACTTGAGCAATTAATTGGTTTAGAGATTATATGAAATTAAAATGCCAACATCCTTTGCTCTGAAAGGACCACAGTCAGCCAATCCTGACTGATGTGAATAAAAAATGTATTAAAATATTCAGAGTCTTCAATTTTATTTTTTTGGGGGGTGGAGGATGTACAACACCTGGTGAATTGTGGACCAGGACCAGAGCTGACCACCAGTCAGCTAAGATAGATGCACATACTGCATACTGTTATTATACTTATCATGATATGCATGATAAGTATAATAACTTTAACATAGAAGTAGAACACGGACAGTGTAAATTAGATCGGATTGGAATTGTATTTCCTATGGAAAAACTTGAATACTTTGCTCCAAGTGACTGAGAAAAACAAAACTGACCATCTCGCTCCATTGGCTGAGGTGGAGCAGCGATCTCCCTGATGTGAAGTTTATTGCACCCTGTCGGGTGAATCATTATCGTGTCAGGAATATGATGGGAGACAAAGGCAAGTCATACGTGATCAATTTTCTATCTCCGAATGGTCACCAAAAAGGTCGAGGCCAGGCTTTCTCTCAGGGAAAGATATTTCCACTGACCTTTCCTTCTCCCCTTTCAACCCCCTGCCCCCACCCAGTGCTGCAGAGGTACCGAAAAAAAGCCCTGTGGCAGAGGGGCTGTATTTTAGTGAGAAAGCAGCACTCAATTTCTTCAAGCAGACTTTCAAAGCTGGAGCTAGTGCTGGAGTTTCTTTCACTGCTCCACTGTTCTGATTCACAAGAATGACTGCAATGCAAGAACTTCGTTCTTGTTGTTTTGGCACTGAAAATTGAAGAAAAGCTCATTTTGGTGCTCAGCATTAGGAGCACTGTGGAATCCCTATTTACTGCTGGGAGTAATGAGGTTTTTTCAAGATGGTTAACCTTGATTTGGGGATTGCGATTGGGATAACAGGCTACAGAGACCTCTGCAGTCACGTATTCGGTTGTACCGGTGTGTTGAGAAAGCCAGGGTAGATAGTTATCTTTTGTTTTAAAAATAAGCCGTTTAGAGATGTCAGGAAAACCACAGCTTAAAAAAAAAGATTCCTGATAATGTGAATAATGATAATGAGTGTTGTGCTAATTAAACCTCCAGCACTCCTCACTGTTTCAACACAATCTCCAAAACGTTATTTTAAAGGAACCACTGCTGCCATCAAAACATTCATTATTTGTACCATTTGTAATTTGAAATAATCAGCATCAAAACACCAGGTTCAGTTGAAAAATGTTTCTGTACACTTGTTTGTTAAATCAGCAAAATCAGCAAAATCAGATGTTTTCAGTAATGGAAGCTCATCATTTCCTATAAGCTGACAGTATGATAGGAATTTAACCACAACCATAACAACAACAGAAATCACTCCACACTGAGCTAGACAAAAGTGCCAAAATGACCCATGGACCTTTAAAATTAATTTTCACATAAATGGGAAATATATTATACAGTACCTGGAAATTAAAAAAATGGGAGAAATACACCATTTTTCCATTTTGTAGTATTCATGTCATAATTTTATACCATCCATTACAAATAACAGACATAAAATGTTTAAAGTATTATGTAGTAATTTTCAAAGTATTATGCTTTTTCACTTTTCTGGTTAAACAGAAGTACAAAAACGTATAATACTTTCCTCTACTATTCTCTAATATTTTGTCTTCTTTTACATTTTTTAACTTGCCTTTAATTTATGTTTTGCATTTTTTTTTCATATTCCATATACAAAGCCTTGGTGTTCTGTCCTGTAATGTGCGAGACTTCTCTTTTACAAATCCGAAAATCATCTTTTGCGAAGGATACGGTCTTAATTTACCTAAAGTCATACACAGCTAACTGTGTAAGGGTGCCTGTTTTCCAGATTACACTGCGTCTATGCCTTGTCAAACCTTGAAAAGTTTGAAAAACTAAAGCCGGAGAATGCACATTATCCATTATTTTGTGTCTGTGAAAAAAGCCTTTTACACGCTAGTAATCTACTCTAAAGCACAGAGAGAAAATGCAGACTGGGACTGTGTATGTGAGTAGAAAAAAAAATCTATTGAATTGGGGAAGAAAATCAAATTTTACAGGGGGTGGTGATGGTGGGGGGGGGTCAGTCACTCACTCGAGATTCTTTCTTTTTTTCCAGCAAACTTTCAAAGGCAAAAGTTGTTACTTTGCAAGTCTTTTGGGGGAGGAAACTGGAGTGAAATTCCTGTGTGTTTGGGACTGTTGCTGGATGCAAATGGGTTTCACTGCAAGGTCAGAGGTGCTCCTGGGCTCCACATCTGCAGCTTTGTACAAGGCTCACCTCCATAGCTGTCAAAGAGGGTAGCCAGCCAGGGCCTAATGTGTATTAGCAAGACAAAGAGCCGGGGAGGGGAGCTGAGAGGATGAGCTTTAATTTAGTGAAGATTTATAGGCCTCATGAAATTGGGCCTAAACCCCCTATTTTTCTATATCATTTACTCACATCTAAAGACGGGGGTTTTGTTGTGGGAGACGCTCGTTTAGAATTAACTGGCAACAAATCTTCAGGGGATGAAATAAAGGAGGGGTGCGGGACACTCCACCCTTTGGAGGGGCTCAAGATCTGTACACTGGAGGGAAATGTGGAAATATGGAAATGTGGGAATTCTTTTCAGTTCCCTCCGGTTTGCATGCCCATCCAATGTGCGGAGCCCTTGATGATATATGTTCTTTACACTGGCCATTGTGTGGGCCAGTACATCAATGTTTGCATCATTAGAAAAGGAAGGGAGTGTCACTTCTAATTTCAATGATGAAGACATTTTCCTCGGGGAAAACAGAAGACCCTTGTGAGCAGTTTGCTCTCTCAGTTTCTCCCCCCACTCTTTTTCTTCTCTTTCATCTGAGGAAGTCAGTGAACTAAACTTTCTGGTCAAGGTAAACACTGCACCTGACCTCTGCTATTAGCTGTTTTCGAGGTGGACAATATGAATTTTGTTTTTCACTCACACAACTATTTCTTTGAAAAAGCCAGCAAAACATAGAGGCTAACATTTTACAATACAAGATCCTTCTTAAGACTCTGTTTCCTGAAGACATACTGTAGGTATAAAAGTTTAGTTTGTTCCATTGTCCCTGTTAGTAGCTATACTTTCAGCCTGATGAAAAGTCAGTAGTTCCAAAGATTATTGCGTTTGATGTGCTGTGAATAAATTAGCAAAAATTAAAGACAATCTTTATCATTTCATCATCAGTGCACATATGGCACTTGTTTAAGTACATATTTTCAAGCATTTAAGTTACAACAGTAAGTAAATAAATGAACAGAAATAGTATAGTAGCACAATAAATGTGAGTACAGTCTTTAAAAGTTCTATATGTATTCATTTCAAAGAAGAGCTCATTGATGGGTCACATAGATCAGATAGACATCAGGAGAAAAAAAAAATTCAGGCTCTCTAGAGCAGAGAGCTCCAGTCCTGGTCTTGGAGAGTCAGGGTTTCTGCAAATTGTCATTCCAGTGCAGTTCATAACAATCTAAATCAGCTCTCTATTGGCATAACTGGAGCAATGATACAACCTTTCCCAGCTCTTTGGGGGCTTTAGAACGCTAATCTCAAGGGAATCTGTTCAGATGCTGTGGTAGAAAAGTGGCGCATCCGGGTAAAACATTGTGCATCACATGCACATGTGTGACAGGTGGGCCTCTGCTCTGCCCCTGTCAAGATTCGATCGGAGTTGTTAACAAGTCTCCGAGCATGCAAGGTGTCACCCCCCTCTGTCAAAGGGACTCTCTGTCTAACATGGGAGATATCTACTCTAGGTTTTAAGAGGCTGATGTCACTTCAGTTACATGCTCAGTGCCAGTGAACCCTGTAGCACACATGGTGACCTTTTTGTATGCAAAGGAAATGACTTCGGTGCAAATGTTTCCCCAAGGTACTTTGTTATTACTTTAATTTAGCGTATTAGGTTTTAATCTGTAGCTGCATTTTTCTGTCTTTTTGTAGAATGAGCATTATCTAGATAATGCAAAGAATCCAAAAAAACAGACCACAGAACTTTTTTGGAAAACAAAAAGATGCTGAAAATTGTCTCCACATGTTTGCAGAAGAGACCCCTCTGAAACAGTGATATATGTCCACATCTGTGAAGACTTTAATTCCAAGGCTCATTTTCCAGAAACTTTTCCAGCACAGGGGTCAGTTTCACTCTGGCCCTGTGTGGCACCAGCCCTTGTGGGGTGTGATCAAAGCCACATGCTGTGACCTGCCAAGCTGCCATCTTCCAGCAGATGGCTTTTCGATACGCTGTGTCATGCACTGAATCTAATAAAGCCAGCCTTAAACAAATCCAATTGACATTGGGGGAAAAGGGCACAGGTGCAGGTCTGTTTTGTGTAAAGGACTAGCAGGCCATGAGGTACTCAAACCCACAGCAAAAAGACCTTGGACAGGTTGAAGTGAAGTCTTCCTTTGCAATGAATGGCAACTGCCCCTGGTAACCTGCTAAATAATAAATAACCCTTAAGGTTAACTGTGTTTAAATCAGCACTGTGATAACAGAAGAGGTCTCCAGAGTTTTTTGACATATCCAATATGTTATCAGTTTGTTTGTGGGTCTAACTGAGTTCAATTTGTATAACCTTTAGGCAACTGTAACATTTGGATTCCGTTTGCAACCTTTGCATCTGGAGCCAAAAAAAGAGCCTCTTTCCTAAAACAACAGGTATGTTTTTCATTAAAAGTCTCCATGCAGCTAAACGAAAGGAGACAGATTTTCAATTAATGCACTGGAAATGTATTTAGATTTTTAAAGCCGATGTTGAAACATGTCACTAATAATGATATTCTGAAAATATGTCAAAGTTAGACTTTTGTTTTTTCCTACCAGCTCTGCAATCACATTAGTACAGTGCTATACTTTCTCTATTGTATTTTGTTTTAGGGGTATATACTTACTATTTTCCTTTACAAAGACTGGTATTTTCATAAGTATTTATTTCAATAACTTTCTAACTTAATATTAAACACATGAATTAATTTTATTTTACATAATTTAGAAAGTGTCAGTATTCTAAATCATTATACCCTAAAAGAACGAGTACAAAATGTTATTATTACTTAAATAGAGAAGCATTCTTGGTTGTGTAAATTCTGATCAGATTAACTGTATCAACTGAGAGATTGGGAGGCTTAGTTCCTTAAGTGGTGCCTTTTAGGAACAATATACAGTATGTAACACAACTCCTTTTGCTGCACAGAAACGTCTGAAATACGTTTAACTTGAAAATAGAACTGACAAATGTCCGATTCTTTTATTATTGTTGCTGTTGTTAAGAAAAAAATAGAAGAACAAATTCCATTTCAGGACTCACCTTAACGTTGTGTAAATATTGACTTATTTTTTCAAATAGAACTTTATTTCACTCTTCTTTCAAATGAGGACTGCTTTGCAATTCTAATGGGCTGCAAAACCTACACACTGAAAAACCAATAAAGTCAGGACACTGGAGGGCTTGAACAAGCCCAATATCACAACAATGCGGAATCTCTGTGCGGCACTTCTGAGCCATCACTCCACAGGGGAATGAGGAAGCCCTTCAGAAAATGAAGGACTCTCCACTTAATAGACTATCAACAAGTTAGTTTAAAAGAGGGGTTTACCTTTGGAAGGCATTCCTGACTTCACTCCATGAAATGATTCTTTCTTTCATTTAAAAACATTTCTTGGCCTTATACTGTAGCGCCCATCCCACAGCTACTCTGACATACTGACGCATGCCGTTAGGTTGTCCCCTGTCAAGCTTCTGAGAAAGGTCATTCTTAGAAAGGTTTATACTTATCGTGCTGAAATGGGCAAAGATTGCCTTCACGGATTAACCTGACCAACCTCCTTTAGTTGGAACATTTGGAACGGTATTGCTACTATAAAAAAAAAAAGTCTGCAGTCCTAACAAATGAGACCCAGTAGTATACAAACATTTCTTTCCTTTTGAAGATCAAATACATAAGTATTGCTTGACATTCCTGTTGTCAAAGCAACATAATTTTGCAAAAGAAAGAGCTATAAGTGTTTCAAAATGACCCCATTCTGTATATTGAAGCAGCATGCATATTGTTTAGAAAAGGTTGTTCTATAAGGCTTCTGCTTTATGTCCCTCATTCATTTTAATGGTAGGTTTGTTTGTGGAGGGGATTATGGTTCAAACTATACTGCAGATATACTGTAAGCCATAAATTCAATTGAGGTTATTATAGACATGACCATTTTAAGCAAGTTTTTTATGTGTGAAATGCAATACAGTACAGTAAGGTCTCAATAATACCCCCACCTAATTCATATAAATTATGTTCATCACAAGCTTATGAACCACTCCAACAAAGCTAAAAAAAAATGGAAGGGGATCTCCACCATTATATTAAAATTCTCAAAGGACTGAGGCATAAATTTCATGAGCAGGATCAGTACGACACTCCGTTAATTTCTGCTCCACAAATCATCCACAGTCAGTAACGACCAAACTGGGAAGAATAAATCCAGAAACCCAAATCCAGGACTGTGTGAACCTGCTGTGTTACATATGACCTGGGCGATAACAACTGACCAGAGAATCAGTTTGGTGGCGATGATTTCTTGAAAAGGGCAGAAACTGCAAATCATAAGGTTTTGCTAACCCATGGCAAAACAAATGTCAAACTGAGTAAAGGAACAATGCAGCATCCATGTTAATTGTTAAAATGTGTGTTTAAACAGAATTTGTTTGCAGTATATGTGTTTTACTTATACAGTGTGTGGTGATGTGGAATAAAATAGTCATTTTGGTTGCTGTTTTAAAACTTTCAGCTGATCAAATCTCTATTAAAGTTATAGGGAGCCTCACCTTATGCACATCTGCAAAATAAAGATACTGTTGCTTTTCTTTTCAAAAATGCAAATAAATAGATGTCTGAAGAAAGAGTGTTTAAGCCTCTGAACAGAGATGTCCATCACACACTGATTCTTTTTCTTTTTTTGCATTTAACAGCATTTTTTCTAGACTGTTTAGGATGCCTTGGAATGCAAAAGGGATGAAAAGAAGCTTCTTCCTCACAGCAGGGGCTCTCAGAAGGACACGCACATAAGCCAAACAGCGGGGAGCTCTCCTGAAAATTAGTTGGTGATGTGTGTGTGTGGAGGGGGGGGAGGTTCAGAGACTGAGAAAAAAAGAAAAAGTGAAACCAATTTGATAGAGCAAAAGAGAGAGGGAGGGAATGAAAGGGAAGGAAGTGCGAAGGAAAGGAGAGAAGCAAGGGAAAGAAAGGAAAAGGGGAAAAAGAGAAGAGCAGGAAAGGGGCAGGAATGCAGGAATGGAAATAGGTGGAATCGGAGAGGAAAACGGGAAGGAAAAGAAATGCAAATTCCTTAATTTTCTCTGCATGTACGGGTCAGGTTTTGTCTTTATCTCCAATCTGAGGAGGGACTGTAGAAGGGACAGAGGCTTTGTGTGCACGGCTGAATGGTGTGAAAGAACTCAGCAATCCCAGCAGAGGGAATGGAGTTTGGGGGGTCAGTGCGGTCAGAATGGGATAAATGTGTGGCATTGTTTGCATTAAGGAGATGCTCTCAGCAGGGAGTCTATAAACCCTTCTTGGCAACATTAAGACCCTGTTTATTCAACACAGTAATACCTTGGGATGGCAAATATAAACAGTCACATCCAAGGCGATGTGGCATCTTAAAATGAACTGGTTTGCTTCTTTGGCATGCTTTGGCATGAAGCAAGGAAAAGAAACTGCCCCCCCCCCCAACACACACACGCATATTCACACACACACACACACACACACACACACTTAACGTTTCAACCTGCTTCTCCTCCCATCAAATATAAAACATCTCAGGGTCAACGAAGAGCCTAAAGATAGAAATCGCTTCTCATACCCCCGCCCCCCCCACCCCCATCCCTTCTGCCGCCCAAACTGTGGCAAAATGGGTCCTTGTTTCAGCAGAACTGGCACAAGCCCCCGTGTGATGGCCCTTCCCTCCTTGGCCAGGTCATTGTCTGAAAAGGGGGCAGTGTGGGGAAGGGGGTGGGGGAGTGGGTTCGAGGGGGCGTGCCGGGTTCCGTGGAATGTGTTCCGGCTCCTTCTCAAAGGCACGAGATGGGCAAACATGAAATCAAAGTGGAAAAGCAGCACAATGGGTGCAATGAGGATAATTCGGGAGATTTGTACTCACGGCTGCCCCGAAGCGTCAGGCCTCACAGTCCCATGAAAAGACCCCTTATGAACACTTGGCTGTTCCATCGCTCCCGGATTAAGGGAAAGCACACAGCCTGCCAACACGGTATATCCTTCATTGTATCACTGACTCGGAGATTGCTTCATGATACCCATTAAGGATACAGCACCATTGTTTTGCAAATGAAATCCATTTTTCACAATGGGCACTGTTCGCCAAAATCGCAGGTATTGAGGATACGCACGTTTCTATAGTAATTACATTCTCTGTCTACTGGTAATGGTTACGGCAAGTGCATTGCAACCAATAGTGGTTGAAGGGGAAACGATATTATCTGATTACTGTTTTAACAACATGTATTTAACCTTCCGATGGTTGTCAAGCATTAAAGAAGACACCCAGAGCATAGATGTGTGAAATTTAATGTACATGTTTGCTTAGTCTGAGATATTGCAACAAAGACCACATGAGTGGTATCAAGTGAGACCTTGTGGATTGGCGTTTAGTCCTGTGTAAAATACAGACCTGATCAGGCATTTGGTGAATAAGAGTGGCAATCTTCCCTGCTGCTGTTGTGCTGTTTTGCTTTTTGTGGAAGGAACTTTCCTTGAAGCTTGCAAGATTTGATGCATTGAGACAATCATGAAGGCTCCATTGGCTCGGCCATTGTCAAAGATGAGATTCCACAGAGCTCTCAACTTTCTGGAGGGGAAATATGCCAATCCTTTCAAAACAGCTGCTACACTCTTTAATTTAAACCTGGATGTGATTCATCCACCCTCTGGCTTTGCTGTCATCAGGTGTCAGTCTTCAACGATCAAGACATTCCTTGTAGGCCACTGAATATCTCTGACACCTTACCCTGTCATGAGTCTAGCTCAGACATGACCTCAGATGTCCTAGTGGAGCGAAAGGGAAAATGTAAATTGGGAAAAGTAACAGTCTCAAATGTTTGGTGGCTAGTTCTGCAACTTCAAGATTCAATAATATCAGCTTAAAACATATATTCTCCTTATAGATCTTCTCTACTTCGTAATTTTGTTATTCATACATTTGCTGGCATTGGCATCTTGCATAACCAATATGGTCACTGATTTCCTAAATATAATAAATATTATTTTTGAAACTGCTTTTCTTTTGTAATATAGTCTATGTTTATTAGATACTCATGTGGCCTAACAAGTGGTAGACAAGATTTCCATTAAATTAACCACTTGAAATGGGATGCCAGTGTTTAGGGTCTGAACATATAAAGATGCCAAAGGGTTTGTAAATGTAACGCACGTGTTAATTCACAATGCTTAAAATCATTTAAAGCTCTGACCTTATTTTTTAATATAAGAAAGTTTATTACTGTTGAGGCCGGTTATGTTCTGCCAGTAGTAGCCCTGTATTGAAATGATTGGAAATTGTTTTTTCCATTATTATCAGTGCTAGATAACATTGCACAGTTATTCTTGAAAGTGTACAGAAACATTGGCTCCAGTTTGAAAGGTTTTCTTTAACTAGCTATCTCATTTCGATTTACACTACATGCCTACAGTACGTCTCATTTTCTGAGTCAGTATTTATATGCAATCTAGAAATGCTGTTTGACTCTTGAATCAGAGAAAAGAATATTAAAAACAAAAAGATGAGCAGGGAGTTCATTTCCAGGACTGCAAAGGGAGTAATTTGTTACATTCTAATCCATTAGAAACGCAAAGAAATGCTAGATAGAGTGCCCAGCTGAACTGACTTGTCATTGCTAGTTCTAAATCTCTGTCTATAAAAAACTGATGAGAGCTAGGCCCATTAAATCAAAGGACATCTCGATCCAAAGAGCATTTTTAAGAAATAAATGAATAAAAAGGGTTGGAATATATCTGTAATTCTGATAAATGCATGTTATAGGCAATACGTTTTTGGGACAGTTTATGTATTGCACAGTGTTATGTATACTACTAAATACTAGCCAAAACCATTAAGTTTACCTGGGCTGTTTTCCACATCAATAATAAATTAATCCAGCTTTCCCTTGTGCAGGGTAAGCTGGAACCTAGAAATATGTCCAACTGCGAACCATAATTACAGAAGAGCTGGTTTCTGGTCGCTAAATCTCCCGTGCCATAAATGCTATGAAATAAGCCACTGAAAACACGCCAATCTTCAGGGGAGGTTGAAGACTAGTTCTCTCTGTTCATTCACCCTGTTCTTGGCTTTTTCCTGACACGTTTGACACCCATTGGCTGGATTTCGCGTGCGTGTATGCATGTGTGGAATGGCAGGACTCCACCTGGCAATTTGGCAGATTTTAAGAGACCAGTGAAGTCATGTGCTTAGAAATACCTGAAGCCTGAGTTTGTCATCCACTGAATAATGGGACAATTAACATACTGTGTGTACTGATGACCTGCATGTGCTGGTAAGCCATTTCCATTCGGAAATAGGGAAGTTTGGAATTGCCGTGGTGTTTATCCTATGGGCATTGATGTCACTGTCTGGAGATGGTGATTAATGTCTGATTTTTTTCCAAATATTATATTTAGAGGTGCCTTTTT